TATATATATATATATATATATATATATATATGTATATAAAAAAGAGAGAGATAGATATAGAGAGACGTATAGATAGATAAAATGAGGATTATACTACATTTTCCATCTCTCTCTCTGTCTCTCCATCTCTCTCTCTCTCTCTCTCTATATATATATATATATATATATATACATCCTTGTCAGTCTGTTGATATCTTTCTATTTATCATTGTTAGTGTGTTCATATCTGTCTATCTCCTTATCTTTGTAGGTCTGTGCATATCTATCTATCTATCTATCTATCTATCTATCTATCTATCAAAAGTACTCTTACAAACGACAGACAATTCTTTCCAGATATATTTTACTTGCTTTACATTTGTTGGGGATGGGGAAATCAATTCATGGAAAAATGTGAAAGGAAGAGGAAGGTACAGAGAACGGATGTAAATGTTTGACCAGCTTTCCTTTCCTCTCTACGTCATGACTGGTACTCCTGCTAAAACCACGGTCACTGAAAGGAAGCCATGTCAAAGATCTTGGCTTCACTACTGGCGCAACTACTGCTGTTTTTGTCATATTTGTCGATCTTATATGAGAATTGAAACATTGACAATTTACTACTGACAGGATTCCACGCCGACTGAATTCATATCATCTACAGTCAGTTTCTGACTTTAAACAACCTTCAAAAGGTTGATAAGTTGTAGAAAGTCTGCGTTTGTCACTCGTCGGACGTAGCCTTCCCCAGATTTATGATCTGGAATGTGCCAGAACCAATGCGCTTTGTTAGGGGAGATGTGACATGCTAGGGTGATCATGTCCCTTTTCCATTCATGATAGGCCAAGGTTATTTGCGCATAAGTGAATGTAACGTTCCTGACTGGAATCGAAACTCGGTTTTCCGATTTCATCCTGAACCGTTATCCATTACACCACCCAATCATCAAATCTTACAGCGTCTTTTGTTTTCAAGCAGTCACCCATCGAGGTAATGACAAGGCTAGACGTTAATTAACTTTAATGGAATGGTTGTCCTTCCAATCCGAAGATGACGTGTCCTTTCTGCCTTGAACTCGGAGATGGCGCCGCAACCCCAAGCTGGAGGCGCAGAGTCTGGAACAGTGGGGACACTGAAAGTCTGTTTTCGCAATCGCTGCTGTTAATGCCCCGTGGCGTCGATCTCTGGCAGCGGTGAACTTCTGGCGTCGCGCATCCTCGAAAGTGATAGCAGCATCATGGATTGTGACTTGCCAACGTGGTCGATCACAGGCGCACTCCTCTAGTTCTTTGGGTTAGCCGAGTTGTTTCCTATTGATTTCGCTAGAGTTTTAGAATTCAGGTTGGAATTCAGATTTTTTTTTATCTTTTAGACTGATAAGTGGCAGGGGAAGATACAAATTTATGACTTCTCAAAAGCATTTTTGCGAAAGCAAACGCAACAAACTAGTCTGGAATTCGAACTCGGCTCGCTGATTCCAATTTCCGAGCCGATATCCGTTACGCAATATGCACTTCATGATTATACATCGTTTTAAAAGAATGCATAAGTGCTAGCAAAAGGCTGAGCCCGCAAATTCAAATTACAAATAAGAGATACCAAAATCAAACAAATACAAAATATCTGAGTAGTGTTTTACCAGAGGACGGAAAGTGGAGTACTGAAATTCGAAGGCGCTTTGAGATAGCCAAAGATGCATTCCAAAAACTAAGCAGATTATTAAGAAACAGAAAATCTTCGTTTGAAACAAAGAAAAATATAGTGAACTAATGAATGATAACTGTCTTCCTTTATAGCATTAAACAATCTTCTCAAAGTTTAAGAAGATAATGAAGCAGCAAAAGTGTGGTTCTACAGAAGGATACTGTGAATACCATGGACTGAATATGTCAGCAAAGACGGAGTTTTAGAGAAAATGAAAACAAGAAGGAAATGTATGCATAACATCAAGAACAGACAGTTGAAATTTCTAGGACACATAATGAGGAAAGAGGGCATGGAAATTCTGACACCCACGGGATAAAATGAAAACAAAAGGGACAGCGGAAAACAACGGATAACATATTTAGGGAGCTTGAGTTAACGGATGGCGGAACAAGTCAAACGCAAAATAAACAAAAGGCTAATTTTTTTTAAAAAAGCTACAAATGACAGGAAATTGTGGAAAGCCATGAACGCTTATTATAGTTATAAACGTTTGGTAAACAAATGAATACTGTTATCCATATTTTTCAACAATTTCCCAAAAGACAATTTTATTGAATACACTATATTGTTTTTATATATGAGTTCCTGTCAGATGGCATTTCTACCAGCTTTTGATGACAGACACAGAAAGTAATCTGAAGAACTCAGTGACAACGTAAAACAAAAAGGGCAACAGCAACAAAGGATTAAATATCAATTGTAAGGCCGAATCAAACAAGTACAGAGACTAACGACCTAGGAAAAGATACATTTCATATGTCGCACAGAAAGCCGGAAGATGACTCTCAAATATTAGGTTGGTGCAAAAATAATGACGTAATAATGTCGTTGTTTGATGTATTTTTTAACGTCAAAAAACGACATTATTACGTCATTATTTTTGCACCAACATAATACTAAATGAATTATTAAGAAGCAGGAAGATTTCGTTTGAAACAATGATAAATTTTCTCAATTGTATATCCCTCCTATACAACAGTCGAGCAACATCCTTCGACAAACATTATCATCTAGGTTTTAGTTTATCAGCAAAAGTTTAAAAAATATTGACAGCCTATGTCCTGAGAAGAGACAACACATAAATAAAAAAAGACTTTTGCTTAAATAAATATGATACCTAGAAGATAAGACTTTTGAAAGAATTAGCGCGCGTGTTATTCACGGATAATCCCATTAATTGACCTACCATAGATATGCGACATTTCAGAAATAGGGGGATTATGGATTAAAAAAAAACAACAAAAAACGACAATTAGTTTGAAAATTACACTAACCTATTAGATATGAATATTGGTTAAATGTTTGAGATTACCAGGTAATCGTGAGTTGAATTAGGGGAAGGCTTATACAGGGTGCGATGGGTAAATTGTCACTATTTATACTTTTAGTTCGCACATGCGCGTTGTTTGTTTTCGCCTGTGAGAAAAACAGCATCATGACGCAATTCACTCCGTCATAAATTTGGAAACGGCATGCTGTACTGCTTGGCATTTGCACCGGAAGCTCCAATACAAATATTTCAGTGTGTTGGGGGTGGGGGTCAATCATAGGACTGTTCAAAGGATTCGTAAATAGCTGGATGTGATTACGAAGGTACGGCTCCTCGGAAATCTCGCTATGATCGTTCTGATAACAAAAGAACTCCCGAATTTGTTGGTGAGGGCCTCAGATTCAACACAGAGGCTCACGTGTGCATTGAGGGTTGCTGTTGAAAGAGTCTATCAGGCAACAGGATTCTTCACCATGCCGCACAAGCAGGAGAGCCCAGTCATGACTGTCAGACAATTTCTGTGACCATATCAACCATCACATCTGGTGGTCCAACTCCCTAGACTGCAACCCCCTTGATTATTATTGTGTGTGTGTGTGGGGGGGGCATCTGAAAAAGAAACCAAATTCCTTGAAACACCAAACATGAGCTGAAGGTAAAGATTATGGCAGCATTCACCAACTTAATCAGGGAGACCATCCAGAAGAGTTGCAGGAGATTCCAAAGTCGTCAGAAGATCGAGGTTGAAACCAATGTCGATTTTATTGAATAAATTTGCTCTTTAGTATTTCAAGATATTTTTTGGTAAATATATCTGTTACAACGAGATGTCAGTATTATTTTCATTTTTGCGTAAATTAGACGAGAATTTATCCATCACAGACTCGTATTTTGGCTCAGCAGAATAGGAATCATAGGTGAATCCTTTTCTTTTATGATCCGCGTCCTTTTAGGACTTAGCCGATCATGGTTAACCTCAACTTCTTGTCCTTTTCAGCTCTTAGTAAGTTTCGTATATTTTGTATTTCTTTTCTACTATCTATCCACAAAACCTCGTTAGGAAGTTTCTTGTTACTTTTCTCTGACCCTCTTGCTTTCAATACCTCTTGCGAGTATTTAATTCTCCAAGTTATAATACCTAATTATATGTTTTTGAAATTTCGATTGGCCTTTTTTGAACATAAGCACAAGTATCCTTTTCGTTTACATTTATCTTTAAAATTCCTCATTACTCACATGTTTCTTCGATGGTATTCTCAACCTCCTACATCTAGCAGAACCACATTTCTGTTGCTTCGATTTTCTTCTACATCTGTGAAGAAATTGTCAAGCATTTCATTGCCACATAGGAGAGCCGGTATTACATTAGAGTTCAGCACTTTCTTCTTTGGTTCGTATTAGTTAATGATTCCTGTTTCATCATAATTTGTTTAGATTTTGTAAGGTGTCTTTCGCTAATCATCAGATCTCGGTGTCATTTTTTTTTTAGTCCTCTTTTAAAACATTTCCCAGATTATTATTATTTTTTTAATCATTTCACTCCAAACAATGCAATAAGGTCATTAAAACACAAGGGATAGTGGAAGTTAAAAAAAAAGAAAAAAAAAGACTTTAGAAAGAACCAGAAACCCAATTATAGTATACATTTCAGAGTTTTAGAAGTCTGGAACTGAAGCAGAATTTAGAAGGAACCGGAAATTCAGTATTTAAATTTCCGTATTCATTAGTATCTTCGTATTTCGATTCTTGGGCCGTTCAGGCTGATAACTATATTGTAATGACAAAAGTACGCAGATGTAGGCTTTAAGAAAGCTTTATTCAACTGGGAATACAAGCTTCGCGTATAGTGTCCTTTTATAGCCCCAGTAAACAGAAATAGCTGTCTCAAAGAGTAGAGTAACAAAACAAAGAGAGACTATTCTTGATTATTCATAACACATACCTTACGTCTTCTTAAAACTGATGTTTACCAATTTCTTCACACTTGTATCCTAAAAAGAAGTAATTAGCAAGGGAAACATGAATAGAATTAAAAAATCCACGAGCCGTAGAGCAGTCTATTCCCGGTTACTGAATGAATATGTCGACTTTGAAAACTTGTTCCGCTGCAGTAAATATCTATCTTCGCCTGCTATTCGAGAGCCACATCGGGCCTACAATGGACCATATCTGGGCTGGAGCTGCCAAGTCCTCACTTTTGAGCCTTGACAGACTTGAGAAACGCCCTTGCTACCTTATAGATGATGAATTGTTTCCCATTCTACAACCCATAACTGACAGATGAAACAAGCGTCTCACTACTCCATATCTATTTCACCGGCAAATCTTCTGAAGACCTACCATTTTTAGTTCCACCAGACCCCTCCATGCAACGTACACTGGAAAGAATCATTTCCATTCGCTTCGTATTCTGTTAGTAAGAAGGAAGTTACATTCAGACAGATTCTTCCCAAGAACCGCTACTTTGTGTAACAGACTCCCGGTCACTAAAGCCTCCTCTTTAATTCTTGGCTTAACCGATATTTTTTTACCACATATTCTTAACCTGTTTGACGTACAATAGCCTCAATTAGTGCACCTCTAATTTGAGTGGTTCATGTGCCTTGTACTGAGTGATAAAACAGTAAAATCTTTAAAAACAATGAATGAGGCAAGCGACTGAAGAGGGCTGGTGGGTTAAACGATCGAAACATTATCACTTTAACAACAGTTCCAATAAATCAGTGTAAAATTATATATCAAAATAGAGACGAAATGTTAAAAGGATAAACGTGCAAGGACAACAGCAAGACGAAAAGGATGGAGTTTTATCGGTCATTAGGATTCTGTGATGGACGGCCTGTCCATCTCTGATTTAAGGTTTCAATTCAGAAGGCAATTAATTCCAGGAGCAATTTCTGGGACAACGAAAGGACTATAAAGAAATAAAACAAAAGGTGGGAAGCGAAGAGAAATGGTATCAAGTCTTTTTTTTTCTTGGCTGCAACTCATGAAGAGTTTTTGTAAAACAATTATGAAAATATTTCAATCTTAATATAAAATACACAAGCTTCTTAAATAGACGGACCTAGCCTGCTATTTAAATCTCTTTCTCTAATCCACACATTTTTTTCTTATGTAAGGGTTTTTTTTAAAAAAATGTCCGTTTATTTCAACGTGGCCGTGTATTCCAACCTTATTTCTTGTTCGGAAAAAAAACGAATTCATTTTCAATGATTTTTTTTTCAAACCTACCCTTTTATTCCGGCATACCCTACTATTCTGGATTCAGGAGTAAAATAGTGTGAATAATATCAATGAGAACCACTCGGCTTAGAGAAGGCGTTTGGAAGATTAATCCCAATTTGGCACTTTCACGCAAATAGACTTGGGGAGATGATGAATACATCTCTTCTCTCCCATGAGCTATGGTTAAAGAGTAGGGACGACTGGGACATCTACTTGTGGTAGGTAAACTAAGCTAGAAAGTCATCTCAATTCAAAAATGATATTATGATATTTTTCACTGAGAATTAAAAAAAGAAAAAGAAGCTAAACAAAATAACACAAAAAGCTAAGATCACACGCATTTTACATAGATAAAACTTTTTGTACGGTGTGAGCTGTGAGTAGGATTTTTGGTATTTCTTTAGAGGTTGGACTACCAGGAATCGCTTCAATGTCTCTCTCGGAAGGTTTTCTAACCAAACCGGGGGCTCCATCTACAAATGAATTTAGGTATGTCCTCATGCGCCACATTTGTTTATAGATTTTCACTTTAAGATCCTTGTACTTTGACATTTTTGAAGATTATTATTATTATTATTGTTGTTGTTGTTGTTGTTCGCGGAAAAACATTACTGATGTGTTGTGTTCTGAGATTCAATGTCTTCATAAAAGTAATAATTATACTTAATATCAGGTTAGTAATTCGTATCAAATATCAAGTTTTATCACGGTTAGTTTTTGGGGGAGTAAGAGATTGCAAGCCTTCCATATGGTATTATGAAATAATTACGATATTGGATGATTTTGTATGTACTTTGAATGCTTTTTTTATTCATCCTATAAATAGGCAGAGCTACAAAATCTAAGTGCATTTAAGTAAAAAAAAAATTCATAAATATTCCAAATTTTATTTTGTTGTGTTGGTGTGATTAGAAGTTTATGAGATCAATTTTACAAGTGGACATTCGATAGTCTTTTAGTTGTAGTTCCTTATAAGAATTGTTTAAAATGATATCCGGAATCCGTAATGTATTGATTCTCTTTCATAAATAGATTCGATTTTATATTCGATATCTTTATGTTTATTTTAAAAGTTCTGGTGGATATATTAAAAAAAATCAGAACCTGTTAATCGAAAATATGATTTTTCTTCATATAAAATATTTTTGAAAGTACGAAATTACATTTTTTTAAAATTTGCTAACACACAATTGAGAGGTGATACCATCGCTTAACTAAAATTCTAAAAAAATAATATAAAAAATGAAATCCCATTGGTTTGCATCAATGTGGTAAAATCTTTAGGATTTCTAATCCCTTCCGCTCTTCTCACATTCAATATATCCTGTGGGTGTCAGATTCTCCAGACCTGCTGTCCTCACTATATGTCTCAGAGAGTTCAACTGTTTTATTCTGATTCTAAGTGTCCTTTTTCTCATTTTCCTTAAAAATTCCTCGATGTTCACATGTTACATTCATGGTAGCCTCACCATCCTTCTGTAGAACTACGTCTCTTCGTTCTGTCAAGTCTCATCTTCGAAGTACAAATATAAGCATTTTTTATTGCATTTTTTTAAAACTTCTGCGTTACTAATATATTCATTTCATGGGAGACATGAGTAAACGGAGATACTGTCAATCTCAATAAGCCATTGAACTAAGGGTCTCGTTTTTTTTTTTCTCTCGCTCTGCAAAAATTTCAGTTTGCCCAGCGAACGTTTTGAATATAAACTATATGAGCTGTCGCCAATTAATATTGTTTTAATGTCTACCGATCTGGGGTTTTATTATTTAGACATATATATATGAAATTAAAACGTTTAAAATTGAAAGCGCCCCTCCTGTGACTGAGAGGAAACCAAACCTTGTTTTGAATATAATGTCCACAAAATTTGCTTTGCTAATGTGATGGATTTGGTCGATTAAGCCTTTAAAATAGGCAGTTCGGAAGATATTCACTTATGTTTTAAGAACAGAAATTCCTATTTAAATAACTGGGTAGAGTGGATATTCAATAATAAAAAAATATAACGCTACGTAATGAGAATTGAAGATTATGCTTTATATTTTTAATAAAAGTAAATTATTAGTTGAGAGAAAAAGCGCTTTGAAAATTTACAAGTAGTAGTTCGAGACAGAAAAAAATATTAAAAAAAAAATGGGATTATCAAGAGGGAAAGCTAAAAGGCTCTTAAATCTAGTGAAGATAAAACGTATTTCAATAATGCCAGTCAGCAAGCCAAGTTATACAAATAGGGAGCTGTGGGTAATAGATGCCGAGTTCAAATTTCCACCAAGTTTGTCATTTTCAGAAAAAAGTAGGGTTAAAAAAAGCAATATATATATATATATATATATATATATATATATATGTGTGTGTGTGTGTGTGTGTGTGTGTGTGTGTGTGTGTGTGTGAAGAAATATAGTTTTAAGTTGTGCTGTATTTGTGGGGTAAAGTGATCAATATCAGAGACAGAGCGTATGCAAATATAAATATAAAAGTGAACATTGAAGTCAACATTCAGAGGTGACAGGCTATTTCATGCTAAGTGCAATCGTCAGCCTGACGATTTTCACCTAGCATGAAACAACCTGACGCATCTGGCCGTTGACTTCAATGTTCTCTTTTATATATATATATATATATATATATATATATATATATATATATATATATATATATATAGCATAAAATACTAGACCTTCATCACATTAGGAGTAAGGAGAAGATGCGATAAGCAAAAATAAACTACAGATGAATTCAAATTTGATCGCTGCATTTAACTATTGCATTGATATTACCTTTTAAAAGTGCAAAGGTAATTCTTTCATTGCCTCTTAATTTAAAGACAGTTTGATGTACGTAGGTCCTTACTATCCGTATAAACAATAACTTTTATTTCATGAGTGACTTTCGCTAGATTTCGCAATTAATTTCGATTATTCCAAAATTTATTTCCACGTTATAAACATTGTGATCGTAGAAAAAAATTAGTCGCTAAAAATCAAGTAAAAATATCGGCGAAAACAATCGCAATAATGAAAAAATTGGGAATCCAAAATTTCATGATTGCGGTTCCGTATCCAGTCCGGAATGTTGTTTTTATTATTATTATTATTATTATTATTATTATTATTATTATTTTATTTTTATTTTGCTAACGGAGTCGAGCTGATTCCAAACTGGTATGATATATCGGGCTATGCCCGTTATGAGTGAAATTGAAAAAGTGTGGGTCAGTGACACACTGACACTGACATGTGGCATTTTCATTTACCATATATATATATATATATATATAGGGTTTTCTTTTAATTATTATCAACTACATCATCACTTTGTAGTAACAGATATTTAAGCAGATGCACTGCCCACTTTTCATTTTAAACAGTGAGAATTACGTCTTATGCATTTGTAAAAACGTATCAAGAAAATCTGCTGTCCACGCTAGAAAAGAAAATCGAAGTTTAGAAATTTTCCAAAAATTTGTAAGTAAACAGTTGAAGTTAGGATTTATATTTTAGTAATTCATAGATCCATCCCTTATCTTTTTCTTATATCAATGAATAAAAAATAAAATTCAATGGTAAATTAGTAAAAACGCCATCAAAAATAATACAGCAAGCGAAAGTTTTCACTTAAAAATACAAGCATATTTTTAACTTTAGAATCTCTGCTACTTAAATGTAATATATTCTTACGTTTAGAATATTGAGTCTCAGTCAGTGATTCATTGTCTAGCTGATTTTGAAACCATTCTGACTTAGGCTTTCTCTTCCGTTTCCGTTCCAATCTCAAACTTGCAGTAGACTCCATTTATGGTCAAGGTGCCCATGTAAATTTCTGAAAGTTTTGTTGAATTGATATGGAATCACACACACACACACACACACACACACACACACACACATATATATATATATATATATATATATATATATATATATATATATATATATATATATATATAGAGGCATTAATAGCTCGCGGGGGCCTTCAGAGAGTGAAAGCGAGACGAAAGACTGTGTAAAGAGAAGACTGAATTGGGGATAACAAAGATCGATCATCAAGGCAACAGAAGATGACGACGGACGTTGCATTTAACTTTTTGAAGATTGTAGTATTCATGGAAGCGTGTAAGAGGAAGGGAGTTCCACTGTCGGGAAGCGCAGGGAAAAGAAACTGCCGGAGTAGAAGTCGCTGTTGCATTTAACTATTTCGACAGTAAAAGGGTGGGACCTAGATGTCAATCTTGTTGCACACTTACATTCATGTAGTCGGGGCACCAGGGAAATCATGCAGTTGCCATGGAAATATTTGTAGAAAAGACAGAGGGAAGTCACATCATGTCAGTGAGAAAGTGACTGAAGTCGAGATGTCAAATCAAGGCCGATTACATTGCAGATTCTTTTTTGGATTTTCTCGAGAAACTAGAGATGAATAGCAGGATCTTCTGGCAACAATATATATATATATATATATATATATATATATATATATATATATATATATATATTTTTCTGAGATGAATTATTATGTACATTATTTATATTATTCAGACTATTCTCCTCATCTTTGTTGCCATATTTATCACAACGTTTCGGCCGTTGTACACTCCGGCCTTCTTCAGGTGGTTGGAATGTCGAACGGAACCCTTTATTTCGATCACTGGGGTAGACTGTTCTAGTTCCACGTGCCATGTTTGATGGGTGTCAATTATCAGTTATCTCCTGTTAATTTCCCTCTGAAAGTTCTCCACTGCCTTTACCGAGTATTGAACTCACACTCTTTGGGTCCTGTCACTGGATCTAACTAACGGCTTTATCCACTGTGCCATGTGTCCTTGACAGTTTAGTCATTGTTCATGTGATTAAAAAAATATAACATTATGATATATTCCGGCCATTACCAATGATTTCTTTCTTGATGGTGCATGCATCCCTCAGGAACCCATTAAGATTATGTTGATCTCAGTGTTCCTGACGATAAACCGAGAACTGAATTCCGAAATAATATCACCTATCATCGCAAAAGCAATTCTACCACAATGCAGTATACGAGTCTATAGACAGTGCAACAGAGAACTACACCGAATGGAATAAATTAAAATACAACGAAAATTAAAAGCTTATTACTAATACTACTATTGTGTGGCGGCTTTATCTCGTACTAGCAGCACGGCACGGCGCTGCCCGGGCTTGATTCAAAAATCATACGACTCATACAGCAATCGCTATCACTTGACTTAAAATATTTTTGCCCTTCCTTGCCTTTAAAGGAGTTCGTTTTGCCGTGCTGATGTTGCTACATGCCTTACTTCTTGCCTATCTCACACTGCGAATTTTTTCTAAGCTCTATACTAAACATTAAATCTGTTACGAATAAAGAACTAAACAAAATGAACACAAAACCACCAGCTTTAAAAAAGGACCCGTAACTGGAAAAAACGAATGAAAAACGAATGTTAACAACTTTTTTTAACAATACTTTTTCACATCCAACCCAGTTCTGCGGAATCAGAATCAACGTTGAGTTTAAGCAAGCGAATCAGCCAATTGGAGTAAAGTGACATGCAGATTTAAATTTTTTCCACTTGTGACGAATGCAGCTATCGATTTTTTTGTATGCTAGCATGCTAGTTAACATTCGTGTCAGTCAGCTGTTGGCTCTCACGCTGGTCAATAGAATCTTCCTGCCTATTCGTGGCAGCTAGCTATTGGCTCACTGGTCAGTAGAAAATAGCCGCAAACTACATGGAAACTGCCGTAGAAGCATGAAAAAGTCGATTATTTCCACTATCGATGGGGAGTGGGAAAGTCTGTCTTGGCTTTCCCACTAACTTGATGCACGTGCATGTAAATTTTGGTGCAAATCCGTCGAAAATTGCGGTCGTGCATTCGTTACACACACACACACACACACACACACATTTCTGCCTTTTATAGATAGATAGATATTTATAGAATTTCTTCTTTCATGATCGCTTCTTTTATGGTGATGCAGACTCAGGACAAGAAGCTTTCACCAAAACATGCCCTTGTCAGTCATACACACTTAGGCGATCATGTATCTTTCGATACATGACTAACATAGCAGATTTTTCCCTGCAGCAGGTTGCCATTATTTTCTAGGGTAGACCAGTTGCCCTCCAAGGCTATAGAACCCAGTATGTCCTGCGATTTACCAATGGCTGGGAGAGAAGAAAAGGATTCATACTTTTCCTAACGTTATTAGCACGTTCTCACCCATTCCCTATCGCCGTTTAACTTTGAAATTGTTGGTTGAAGTTGAAATAAAACCAGTGTAGAAGAAAGTGCCGATGGAATGAATTTTTTCATGTTGGAACTTAACTTACCAGGCAGTGACTCTTGATTTTATGAACTTCTATGGCACATATGGAATGAGACAAGCAGAATCTAGTTATAAAAATGCCGCTGCCGCTGACTCTGTTATAAATTCGAGTGACACCTTCTGTATCATGTCTGTCATGCGTAGCCCTCTTTATTTAATGGTCCAATCGTTGAGATCTGTTGTAATCGTCAACTGCTTCTTCGACTGTTGACCTTTAGTGGTTGGTGGCACTGAATGTGGGTTATTGTCTTTCACCTTGCTGCCAAGCATTGTCCTACCAGGAGTTTAGAACTCCCGATGGTATCGCTCTGTGTCATTGGAAAAGGTAATTTTCACTGGAAGACGCCAACCTAACAAACAGGAATTAACGGCTTTAATATAAAAAAAACAACAAAGTAAGTTCGATCCTCACTGGATTCCCCATGCTTTCGGCCTTGTGCCACATCTAAGCTTCGCTTGGAAAATCTTTGGGCACCTTGACGTGGTGTAATGGTTAGAAAGCTTATCTTGCTAGATCAATTACGACTGAGTAGTGAGTTCGATCCTCACTGGGTGTCCCATACTTTCGGCCTTGTGCCACATCTAAGCCTGGCTTAGAAAATCCGTATTCATTTTCCGGAATTTCACCCTCATTTGATCTTATTACCTCAAGTGTCATCGTCAGGTCTATGTTGAAAGTGGGTTATATCCCTGATTAAAACAAACCTGACTAGTAAATATTTGCTTTGTGTCACTCATTCCAACGAACAATTTTCTTATCAAATAAAAAAAAAAACACTCAATTTAAACAAACCTCAGACTGTATCGAATTTTCAATCCCAGCCAAGATTACAATTTCACTTCTCACTCTATGCTCCATAAGTGACACAAACCAGAAAATACATAGTATCGCATTGTTTTAGCATGAAAAATATTTTCTTTTTTTGAAATATAAATTACATCATGAGTCAACCTTTGACACCAGTCATGTGTCATATCTCCATGTGTGAAATCTTCTGTAGAAATGGCATAGCACTCTTGGAGAGAATTTATTTTAACTGCAATTTCCTTTCAGGTGATCATGGTTCTGTTCCGTTTGCTCGTGCTTATTATTTCCAAATTCTCATGGATTCCTGGAAGGAAACAATGCAACATTTACGCCTTCTGAAAGGTTGTCTTCTCCAATTTCAGATTTAACCATCACACAGATTTGCTAATATCCAACACCGGTTTACCCAGCTATTTATATACATATCTTTCACACACACAGCTCATCAGTGTGGCTAGACATCTGAGTGCTTCAAGCCGGGATCAAACCCGACCGATTTGGCAACAATCAGAATTCTACCCACAAGCTATCGTCGTTATCTATCTATCTATCTATCTATATATCTATATATATATATATATATATATATATATATATATATATATATATATATATTAGTAGTAGTAGTACTAATAATTACTATAGTTAATTATACTCGTCCGGTGTCTTGATTTGCGAAAAATCAAGCCAGCCTTCCTTGACGATCCGCTAAGGTGAAACCTTGGTAGGTTTGTCTGTCTCTAGGTTTATATATATATATATATATATATATATATATATATATATATATATATATATATATATATATATATATATATATATATCCACGTATAGGATTGGTGTATACGGAATAAATTCTAATAACCAACAAATTCTACTCTTAAAAGAGTGCCCAATATAGAGTAGAGCGAATATATTCATTTATTCGAAAATTATAACATAGAAATGTTATAAAATCACTACAAAAATCTCCATTTTATTTCAACACTTCTGGTGTCTTCTCAATTGATGTTGTCGAATGTAGCATCCTTTATTCTACATTCAACACCATCAACTAAAAAGACAGCAGAAGTGTTGAATCAAATGTATATATTTGTAGTGATTTTATAACACTTTTATGTTCAAATTTCGAATAAATTAATATATATATATATATATATATATATATATATATATATATATAACATATATAGAATTTAAAACAAAGTCTTTAGAAATTTTGACAAATGGAAACGTTTCAAGAAAATACGTTTGAAGAAAATAGATTTGATTAAAAATAGATTTGATAATGCATTTTGACATACAAGGATTCATCAGACACTAAAACGAAAGGCTGAAATTTGTGTATGTGTATTTGTGTGTATTCTTAAATAATGAATCGTAGTTCTTTCCCTAAGCTGACGTTTCTCCTGATTAAGGAGGAAAGAGAATGAGTGACTTTTAAAAATCTCGTTAATATTTATTCTGTTATCTTTTCTTTACCCTTAGTTTGAGTTGAAAGTTTTTAATGTATTTTCCCAGCTTTTTTGTATCGAATTAATGCCAAATCCCTTTCTCATTATCACAGAGGTTCGAAAGCAAGAAATTCATTTTCTTTTCTGACATGAATACAAAGTAAATTCTCATAGAATCCTTCAAAATGGGTTTAAACAAAAATATTTGTTTTTGGTTATATT